TCAGCACGTTGAAGATTAAATACTGTCTGTACTTTATTTTCCCCCTCCTGAATCATCTTCAGTTTCAATGGGCGAATCAGGTCCTACATCACTTCTATATTAGTATCAGTAAATTCAATATGTGGGTAATAGGCATACCCGATTCTCTTGAAGCACAGACCGAGTAGTGTGGACCGTAGATTGTCGAAGCACATTCATGACCCAAGCAGTTTGTTCGTGGTAATCTTTACACTCGCTGAAGCTAGCGGGTAAAGACTTCTCTTCTACCAATGCTTTGTTCTCTAATTGAAAGTCACTAAGCTCAAGTGGCGCCATTTTGACTTAGTAGATAGAAATAGCACAGAAACAGTGTTGTTTGTCGCGAATAACTAAGCGAAAGGTCTAAATCAAGAGATATGTTAGCTGAACGAAGGGCTACCGGATAACATGATCGTATCGCAGAGGGTTGGGGTCCGGTATTGGCATTGGCCACAGAGGGGAAACGATAGCAGCGCGACAACTGTCGTTAGTCGAGGCACGCTAAACGAGGCGAATGGTTCTAGGGGCGGACGCGTGACAATCCAATGATTTTTTGGGCTAGAAATTGGCAAGGGGCCGGGGAAGGATATGCTGCCCAGGCTCACTCAGTAGGCTGGGCTGGCTCAAGGTTAGCACAATTCGACATACCTTTTTGTGGATGTTGAACCATCGCGGTAACATCTAGTATGGTGGCCATTGCTCAATGCTTTCGTTGTGCCATATGCTCTATAGATTTAATTTTCCCACCCCACGGGTTTCAACAACCTATATATAATTATACCCGCGCCTACGCTTTTAAAAAAAAACTTCAACCTATATATACAATATATAGACTTTTCTATTATAATCTAGCTTACTCATCTATCATTTATACGGTTGTTTACGCCGGCGCGGGTGTATACGCGTAAAGGTGCCCGCATAGGTACTTACCTACCCCACGTATAGTAACACCTATTAGGTATTTTCCCACGTGTAGATAGTAGACCCTTCGAGGCGTATATATACTTATTTATCTAGGCATAAAGTAGATAGAAGGCCGGGCGCATGCGAAATAGTAGGCGCGTAAATGCACGAAATACAAGATTAGTATACGCCGGTGTGTGCGAATCAAGAATTCAAAGTTTACGGCCATATGGCACGAACAAAAACATTGAGCCATGGGCCACTGTAGACATCGTCAATCTTTCCTGTAGGCACTACGACTGCGCCCACGGCATTGTCGGATTGCATTAGCCTTGCTTGCTCTTGCCTGCAGGACCTGACGCTTTTTCGCCATGAAACTAAATCTCGCGATAGTAGCATACCATTCGTCCATTTACAAGATGATCCTTGCGGTCGACCACTGGAACAAAGGTAGGTAGGGATGAAAACAACGGGCCAATGACAATTTGTCTTGGGTCTTTAACAGCGATGCCTCGGCCCCCAATACTACCTCCTTTAAATACCTTACAACAACCTTGGAACCATCTGCTCACCAATGAATGATCAGTGTTCCACTACCCACCTCACTGCTCTGCAGCATCTTCACGATTAGTTGAACCCGTTGTTTGGGTCTACTTTACCGCGTCCCATTTCTGTACACCATTTACTCACGAGCGACCGGTGCTTACTAGAACATTCAATGGAGCAGGCGCTGCCTTGGGCTGAGCCGGCATGGCTATGGTCCTTGGTATCGCCGTACTACAACGACTCGCACCGGAAGCTGCAAGCTTACGCAAGACTGTACTTCGACCAGAATATCATACCCCACATGCTAGAATGGGAAGAAAGGGGCGACTGCCCAGATGCAGTGAAGCTTTCGTACCTGAAATCCGGTCTGGGTTTGATTGACATCCCAAAGGAATACAGACCAGTAGGGTTCGACACAATAGCTGGAATACCGCTCGACGAGCTGGACATCTTCCACCGCATGATCCTTTCGGATGAGGCCTCGCGGGTGGAGGGTGGTGTCACAATTGCGCTCTCCCGCGGCGCCAACTTAATTGGCCTCCCGCCTATTGTGAACTACGGTACAGAGGCCCAGAAGAAGCGCTGGATCCCCGGGCTATTTACGGGTGAGACGAACTTCTGTCTTGGCATAACGGAGCCAAGCGGAGGTAGCGATGTTGGCAATTTGAAAACAACAGCGAGGAAGACCCCAGATGGCGCGCACTATGTCGTGAACGGCACCAAGAAGTGGATTACCGGGAGTCTCTGGGCCTCCCACATGACGACCGCCGTCCGGACTGGCGGTCCTGGATTCGGCGGCATCTCGCTGCTCGTGATCCCCCTCTCACTACCGGGCGTCTCGGTGCAGAAGATCTCGAACAGCGGGCAGAACGCGGGCGGCGCGAGCTGGGTGCGCCTAGACAATGTCAAGGTTCCCGCCGACCACTTGATCGGCAACGAGAACGCAGGTTTCATGTACGTCATGAAGAACTTCAACAGCGAGCGCTTCATCATGTCCGTCGGGTGCAATCGCAAGGCACGCACGTGTCTATCTGCCGCGCTGGCGTACGCGCATGAGCGCGAGACATTCGGGGTCCCGCTCATCAACCACCAAGTCATTCGGCACAAGATCGTGAACCTGGCGCGTGAAGTGGAAGCTCATTGGGCTCGTCTTGAGCAGATCGCCTACCATATCAAGACGTGCGGGTGGCAAAGCAAGGACATTGCTGGTCCGATTGCCATGGCCAAGATCTCGGGCGGTCGCATTCTCGAGCTCGCAGCGCGAGAGGCGCAGCAAGTTATGGGCGGAGTTGCCTACCAACGAGGAGGGCCCGGTGGTGGTGGGCGCGTTGAACAAATCAATCGTGACCTCAGGATGATGGTTGTCGGTGGTGGCTCTGAGGAGATCCTGGGAGATTTGGCGTTCAAGGAGGAGACCAAGACGGCAATAGCAAAGGTGAAGGCGAACGCTAAATTATAAGCTACCTGGTAGACATGACAAGAGCACATCATAGAGCATGTGTGTATCTAATCGCTTTGGATGTAGGTGGATGTAGGCAAGTTTAGCCCTGATATACCTAGTAGCGAATCCATTTGCCCGAGCTACATCTTGGACTGCCTTCTATTCAACGAAATATCAGCTGACCTGGTTTGCGACGCAAGGAGCTCTGATACTCTATGTGCAACACCCCAACTTAGCTCGTATCCTCGTCCTCCCAGACCATACGCGTGAATGATGCATTTATTGCCCTGCGCAATCTCCGTCTCGAGTCGCATGCCACCTCTACGAGTTGGCCGTCTGCCAACAATGTCTCTGATGACAGTGTATTTGCCATCAGGGCCCAGTATGTCAGGGCAGGTAGCGGCGAATCTGGTCAGCAGCTGTCCCCTAACCTCAAGGGAAGGGTTCGGGTTCCAATAGTTCGGTATCTTTGTTCCCCCCACGATGGTCCCACCTTCGAAGCCACGCGGGATGTTAAACGTGAATTTGCCCTCAGCATCTATCCTCGAGATTGAGATGGGGCAATGGTTGGCGACGAGGCATGTTTGTCCTATTTCGCCTGTGAGCCTAGCTAGGTACGTTTGTTGTTGCATTGGGAAGGCTACTGACCTGTAGTAATAAAGACATCGTTGTCCCCGAAGCCGATACCTGAAGCATTGATAAGCACGTCACAAGGGCCTAGATCTCTCATCTCGAAGACCTCCTGGGGGTCTCTGATCTCTTTCCTGACTAACGATTCTGTTAGCGATGGGGCCGTCTTGTGTCTTCTCTCGATATTGTCTTGCACATAGACGCTGTTCGTAGCGAACCAAGCAACCTTGAATGAACTCACCAATCTTGCCACCTCGATAAGCAAACCTCCGAAGTAAGAAGGCGCAGTACACCATAGGATTGATGCACCAAGTCTGATACTCGTATCCTACTTTTACACCTTCCGGGAGTTCCTCTTTTGTATGAAACCTAAACTCTTTCATGCCAAGCTCATTTCTCGCTCTCTCCTCTGTAAGCGTATTTTCGATTGGCCCAGGCGCGTCGAAGTAATCGTAGGCCTTCAGAAACGTGATGCCAGCCTCTGGATGACGATCATGCAGCGAGCGCATCGCTTCCCACGTCAACAAAGCCATCTCATGCTCACGAGCTTCTTGGCTGTCGGGGGCCGCACCTGGTTTGGGTAAAATAAACCGGTTGTGGGCGCCACCCCACGGCGATGTGAAATTGATCTGCGTTGCGCTGTCAATGATCTCGAAGCCGCTGGGCAAGTCTTTGGCCACAATCGTCACGCTGTGGCCGGCCTCCTGGATTCTCAAGGCGCAGCTTAGACCAGTGACACCGGCTCTACACTGAAGTGTTAATAGTCACGACATGACGATCCAAGTCACGAACGGGGAAGGCTGATGACTGGGTTGAAGTACCCGATAACAACAATGGTCGACATCTTTGACCCCGCCCTATGCTCCGGAAATGTCGATGATAATGATGCTGAGGTAAGAATGGAGTATGTGACGCATATTCGTGCTTCAATTACTTCACGTCATTTGAGTTACTATGTATGTAGGTAGCATGCGAAAGGCGGTTCGGTTACTGGGGTAATGCGCCTGCCTGTATCGTTCTATTGATTTCTTTGACACCGATCTATCTGGTGCTCAGTGCTCGATGCTCGATGCTCGATGCTGGAGCAAGAGATGCGATTGACAGTAGGACGGTGGCACGTGTGAGATGTACTATTTCGGGACCTCCCTATCTCCCCGGCATCCCGGTTCTTTCCCGGATGCAGGAGGGGTCATCGGCATATGTCGGTAGGGCGATCAAATTGCCGAATGCATTGGTTAGGTAGATACCTACCTAATCATCATCGAAGGCCTGCAGGACCTAGCTCACTAGACTTATTTGTTACCTGACCAGAGCTTGAGGATCCACATTGAAATCGCCAATTTGTTCGCGAGCTCCAACTCACCAATCGCATTAATTGACAGCTGCATTGGCTTATCAATTCGGTGCATTTGGCAAATTTGCGCTATATGTAACCCTGCAGCAAGAAATTAATCCATATCAAGGTTTCCTAGTGTAATGGTCATCACATCGGATTCTGATTCCGGTAATCTGGGTTCGATTCCCAGGGAGACCTATTTTGTTGACTTTATGCTCTTTGGCTCCAACAATTACTTAAGTCGTATATGTTCAAGTAAATAGACAAATGTTGTTTTGGTCATGTCTACTACATTGCTGCGACCACTGGTATGCATTCATTAGTGCCTATTTCCCAGGTATTGTTGATTTACCCTTCTCCCCAAGCACAATGATAAGAAGAGCTGTCTACAACTTTTTGTAAACACAAATTTGGTCCTTCCCTTCAAACCAATTGCTGTTATCAGCTACCTGCATACACTTGGTTGGATCTTTGTTTAATCCCAAATTCCACTTCTGGTTGGCTGCTGCGTGAACTGCCTGCCTATCATGTATTGTTAGCTGCCTAATACTGTTGAACAGTCAGTCCACAATGGCTGCATCCATGTCAATTTGACTGGCTATACATCCGTTCTTTAACCATGCCGGTTGTGTTAAATTGTCCAGTACGCAAGATTATTGTCATTCTCACACATGCCATGCTGGTTGTAATAAGGATGCAACAGGAACTGCGGTGGTAGGTTCTCTCCCCATGCACATTCATCAAATACAATCCCAGGAAAAGCCATTGCAATATCGAATCAACAAACTCAAATGTGCATTACTGCGGTACGCAAAATAACATTCCCTATGTGTTCATTGTTAAGCTAGACTTATCAAGGGCACGTTCTTACTGAGAGCTCTGTTACGGGTAGATCCTAGGCATCTCGATGTGTATCGAGGTAGCTAATGTCCCGGGTAGGACTGCTCCGCCCTATTCTCAACATTTCCTCAAAGATTCGCGTCCACAATGTCTCAAAAATACACAACCCTTGTGCAATATCTATAACCCAATCATCAATCCAAGTGATTGGCTTGCACTGCAAGACTGAGCAACAAACAGCCTTTCTTATGTCCTCAGGTGTCCGTGTTACATTCTTCTCCAATCCTTGATGAGTAACAATGCTGTATTGTGCTGTGCTTAATTATTGTTCACGTTAAATAAACACTGTTCATACCAACACTGGGGCTCGAGATAAAGGCAGTTACATCCCATATAGCAAGTCCAGGTTTGAGCCGCTCTATGTCAATGCGTTCGTCTTACAGAATGAGACCTCACTTCATGGCTGTCATGTTGCAATTCTTGGGACATGTTTGCAAGTTTGTTTGCAAGCTAGAGGCAAGTATGAGGTACACTGATCCTTGTAGATAGTCGCACCTTCCCTACATCGTGAGGCTTGTCGTCGTCCTGGTGAGACATGCGGGTACCCAACAGGTGCGCAGCATGCTATTGGCCGCAGCTACACCAAAGATTGGCATTCAAATTTTCACGATGCCTATCGTGGGCACTGTATTGTTTGCAAGTCCCTTCTGCATTCATTAGGAGGGTGCTCCTTCCCACAGCCCTGTTTTCTTGTTCCCTGTATCATCTCTCATAATATGCTACTGGGTTTGCCGATTTCCCTCCCAACAGTCTACCCTCTGCTTGCAGAATTACAGGCAGAGTATCAAACTCTTTCTCGGTCTGCTGACCTGTCATTCTGAGAAGCTACATCACTTGTTATTCCAACTACCTTTGTCTCCATTTGGATTCTCTGTGGTCTTGAACTACCACCTGGGAGTCGAACAAACTGAGAGATTGTTGGGCACACCAGAACAAGTAGTACCTGATTCACCTCGCACACACCACAATATTGCATACAGTTCGAGGTTCTCAGCAGTGTGTCGTAATCACCTGATTCCTCTAAATCGTTGAAGTCAGGCAGCATGCCGAAAGCCAAGGGTGGCAAGAAGGGCAAGGGGACTGGCGGAGTCAAGCGAAACCAAGGTAAGTTACATTTCTTCCTCAACACTTGCTTGCTCATATGGTTTTCTAATTCAAGTCACCCTCAGCTCCCAAGTCCAGCTCCCTTGATTCTGACTCGTCGGGCTCCTCAGTTGAGCAAGGGCAATCAAGTACTCGTTCTCTTCGTCCTCTTCCCAAGCCTGCAAATCCTCCAAGTAAGTAACGTCTCGACTCGTCACCTCCTCCAAAGTCTTCACGAACACATGTTGCAAGAGTTGAAAATCCATTTCACCGCTATTAACCACTTCAACCTTAGAGCAAGAAGCTCCGAAGGGAACTACTCAGCACGGTATATACTCTGCAGACAACACATCTGGGCATCGATATGTTGGGCAATCTCCCTACAGCTCACAATCTTTCGGCCCGGCGTCCGCCCCATTGGCATCATACCAAGAATTACCACAGGGTACAGGATTTGGATGTGAGTCCTCTATGTGGTCGGATTGAACAACACGCCGTGCTTGACCCTCTCGGTGTTTTGAAATATGATAATGGTCATAATGGTGGCTAATAGGATAGCAGTCGCTCCGGCAACTAAACAGTCACCCAGCACCTACACTATGTCCTCAAGCAACTGGTCTGCACCCGCCAGCGGGGTCCCGGACGGGCAATTCAGTGGTTATCAGATCAACTCAGCGAACAATCACACCGGGCAACCTCACGCGATTTTAAGCTCTTCTGGATCGCGTTCCAGTCGTAAAGCCAACCTTACCCCGTCAATTGTCAACTTAGAATCCATCCTTAACGACGTTCCACACACGCCAACACCGAAGGGACGAGCTCAATACGTCAAGACCGAGACAACGACATCCTCTACGCGTAACGGGGCTCGCAATCTCGACAACGGCGATCCGAGTTCGCCGTTGGACACCAAGAAGCGTTATAAGCGCAGTAAGAGATCCAGCGGTACCGGTATCCAAAACGAAGGAGGCAGTATTGCTTACCCACAAGTGCAAGGCGTCTCCAGCGAAAGTGTCACTGGGTTTATCAATGCGCAATTCTCCGTGCCTGGTTTTGCCAACATAGAGACCCCGAACTTAACCATGCCCAGCATGACAAGTGCGCCCACCGAAAGCTCTGCATCGTCACTACTTGATCACAACATGGCTTCTGCTGGGAACAACAAGAGCAACAACAGCGTGGCTTCTGCCATGGCAGAGCCACCCATGTCTTTCACACTGAGCGATGGGTACGATGTCTTGAATCCTGCGCTCTTGGCGCATGTGAATGAGCAATGCGCAAAGAGCGCTCTATTTAACACGCCACAAGCCATCGTAACGTGGCACCAGCTGGGAATGGCCGACGATCTTTTCTATGGCGGCATCCATCGAGGACGGTTCATAGTCAACAACCACTATGTCATCGAATACCACAATCCCTCTCGAGAGAAGCCTGTCGGAGTTCCCGACCATGCGCGTCAAGATCGGCGCCCAATCATGGTGTGGGTGGAACGCAACGGGCGACCAGAGTGTTACGCCGTCATGCAGGGCAACGTCTTGCTTCCGGCGTCCGATCGGATGGCGAAGACCCCAGCTGACCTCGAGAATGCATTGAATCTCTTGGACTATTTCAACCATCGCGTGCTCACTCTGAATGTGGATGAGTATGCCAAAGCCGTGGCGCCGAAGTGGATCGATCGGACACCTGAAGCCCAGAACCAGAACAAGCTTCTTGTCGGCATGACGCCGGGATCTGACAATGCCGTTTGGCGCACTGCAACAGCGGCTGAAGAGGCTTCCGTCGAGGCACAATGGGCGAATCGCTACATTCCCGCAGCCCCTGTCGGCGGCCCCCTCTTTGGAGCTCTTGCAAACCCGTCGAATGCTTTCGGTAGTAACATGGACTTGAGCCAGATGGCAGGTAACCCGTTTGCTTTCGGACCACGTCTGGGCCTGCCCCCAGTCTTGCCCACGCCAGCTTCGGCCGGCACGACGTTGAACCCACTAGATTCTTATTTCTCAGGTTCATCAGGTGCGTTCCACACGTCTAGTGGAAACCCTACTCCCCAGGCTGGGCTTGCTTTCTTTGACGGCACTCATGATGATCCAAACATGCGTGCGCCTTCAACTTCAGCTCCGTTGGCCCCGACTCTGACTGCGACATACTGGGATTCCGCGTTCATGGGCGCGCCTATGCACTCGGATGAAGCTATGAAAAGTCCAACCCAAGCTAGTTCGCCAATGAACAGCGGCATAGTTGCACCAATCAAAGTTGAACATAGCGACGATCTCAATATGGAAGACTACATGGATATGTATGACAGTGACTCCTCTGACGACTCGATGAAGGAAAGTCAAGACGACGAGCACCACGCTGGTCATTCTGGCCCCGTCAACCCCGGCATTCAAACGACACAAGCCCTAAGTGCTTCGGCTGTGGCTGTGGCTGATGACAACCCTTTCCATCCTGATGGCCTCTTTGGTATCGCCGACCACCCATTCTTATACGACTTCGGAGATCGAGTCGACCCAATGGAAAGTAGCGCGCTTAATGGCGCGGGGCAGGCCAATGGCAACGATGAGCCGGTCCACGATGACGCTTGGCCGAGCTTCAATGTTCGAGATGAAGCGTGGTAGCCATTTCGCAACCACAGTCCCTCCGACGCTTAGTCGAGCTCGTCTCTTCCCTATATACGGTCACCATGTCACACAGAAGCCTTTTGGACGGTTTCGATACCACGCAAGGCCCACAAGGCGGTCCAAATTGGCTCTTCAAGACAATGATAGTCGTTTCCGAGTTTGATTGCTTCCTGATACCCTTTTCCTATTTGTACTCGCTCTATTAAGAGCAGATTCCCCACGTCCCTTGACGAACCTCCCACGGTCACAGGTGTTTGGGGTTCATGATCTCGTTTGCGTTTCTACACGGCTAGCTTTCCGCCAGTTGTTGACCCATTTCTTTGTTTCTTTACTGCTCTACACTGCAACATACAGACAGTGTATCGCGGTCCTCGTACGCGATCGTTCGGGCAAGAATCGCTTGGAATGATGGGTCGAGAAGAAACTCCCCGAAAAGGATGTTTACACCAGAAGAAGAAAGCAGATGCAATGCACACATCGCATTTCGTCGCGTTTGGTTTGTGGGTGTTGCGCCCACCTTGGTCGTCCTCTTGAGTGGCCGACAAGGCGATGGCTCACATGACAGGAACACAGATTCCAATCAGTGAGCGTATTCAT